GGTACAATTCGTGAGGCCGGACCAATACTCAGGGTCTTACAAAAACTGAGAAATGAAGGTACTGTCTTTGCCCTACAAACAGCTAGACCTTCGCATGGCTTGGATGACCACATAAAGTGGTGGTCTCATCTCCAGTAAAATAGTATCCTCCAAATACTTTAGTGCTGAATACATGTACACTCAAATATAGTGCTTTTTTTGGTCAATTTATACTGTGAATTTGACATGTCGTTCTTCAGGAGGAACGCAATAGCTCCATGGACAACATTCTATTTCGCTTACTCAAGTTAGATTCTTCTTGTTTCTTTGGTCAGTTTGTTAAAATATACACTAAATGATGCCCTCTCTTCATAACTTGCCTTGTCCTAATAGTACGGACCATCAAGGATTTTCGTCAACCAGTAAGCTCCTCTACAAAGAATAAAGCATGTGTAAAAAAAAAAAAATTATGCTTACCCACATAGCCATTAGGGTCAGTGCCATCCAGTGAGTATTTGTCATTCAAGTAAAGAGAGATTTCCAGAGCTTCTTCAGGTGAATTTGTCCATTCAAGAATTTTCTTTGCCCAGTACATCCTCAGGAAACCATGCATCTTGCCTTCATTGACCAGCTGAAGCTGAAAAGTGGTGGAAACTTTACTAAAAACCTTATGTAAACAGTAAACAAATAAAATTCATGACAGCTGGAAGGTAGGCTGGTAGTAGAGGTAGTTCTGCTAAAACCTACATCTATCTCTTCCCTACACTTCTTACACAGGGCCAAATGTTTTTCAGTGAGGGAGGGGTAGGTGGGTACCACAGTTTCCCAAATCTTATATTGGTCCCCAAGGTCCCTGTTCAAAAACCTTTAATCCTTCAAGCCTCAGCATACACATGCAAATTCTCCAGACTGATCATCATACATTTCCTCAATCATTTTATCAACTCCCATAACCTTTTCTTTTGATTATATACTGATACTGTTGGGAGAAAACTGATCTTGGTCACTCTTGACTCTGGGGTACATACTCTCAGGTGTTGCCTACCCTCAGACACTCCTTGTTACTGTTTCTTCAATCCCTAGGGAGCTTAAGCAAAGACGTTTTTGAGCAATGCACTTTAACCGGAAGTGGACTTTTTGCATTCTTGGGCAGTGATTTTGCCAAAAGTTTTAGGCAACTCGTTTCTATTAGAGTAAAAGAGAGTAAAGACTTACCAATACAAATTTGGTAGCGTCAAGGCATATTTAAAAAGAAAAAGGCTCACTTCTGGTTGATGTTCGTCAGTCAAAAACGTCTTTGCTAAAGTTCCCTGTCAGTAAAGAGTGTAAGAGAGGTTTTTTGGGAAGCCAAACATATGGTTGGATCAGCCTCAACCTTGCAGAAAAATGTCAGCCTTAACAGAAATCTTAATTTGGTTAGGAAAGAGGTCTTTCTTTGTCAGTGTTTTACTACTGGACATGGGTTGTCTTCTTTGACCAACAAATAAATGCTGTTGCACCTGGGCAGCATTCCACAGGTCGTCATGGCTACTGCCTTGTTCCAGCTGTTCTCTTGTGTAAAGATATTCCCTCTTGTCCTGTGCATGCTCTTGTAAAGTTTTCTGCGCCCATTCATAGGCACCCTTAATGGAGTCGTAGTTTTCCTGATTGTAGAAGCAAAAGTTGTCTGCCAGTTCTCTTCTGATCACAGCCTCTTCAATGAAAGCTTCAACAGAGTCTTTAGCCCTGCTGCGGAACTCTCGCACTCGAAGAATGGCTCTTTGAACACTCATTTGACCTATGAAAAGACATGTGGGAGTCTGAAAAAGGTACCTCTTTCAGGAAAAGCCTCCTCATAATAGGCTATCATAGGGAGTTCCCGCCCCACCCATCTATGGAGTGGGTCTTGCACTGTGAAGTAATGCCCGCAGAGCTGTCATTAAGGGCCGTAACCTGTAACACCTGTTACGGCTGAACTCACTTGATGTCACGGGTGATCAAAATGGAAAGGTAATGGTGGCACTATAAATTTTTGAGAGATGTTACGGGTGAATCTTCATTTGCTACGGCTGTTTCAAAACTTAATGACGGCCCTGTCCTGAACAGCAACATGGCATCTTTAAGAAGTTAAAAGAAATGCCTGTTTTTTGTTTGTTTGTTTTTTTCAATTAATTCAAATTAACAAACTACACATTCCATTAATTGAAAAATCATGAATGTATCAAATTATGGTACAAAAGATAAAAAGCCCAACACCTTATGTCACACAGTCTGACATTGTCCTTGTCCAAAACAGGAGTAAGTCTTGGTCCTATAACTTCAACAGTGACGCATGGAATAAGGCCCTATGTTACTTTTAATGTTATGTTAAATTCTCCTTACATTTCACAAGCAAATGCAAGACAATATACCACTTCTGAGTTCCAAAAACCATCACTTTCAAATTGAGGCCAAGTGCACAACCTTTCTTGTGACAAAGAGTTTTACTTGCATGAGAATGAAAAATCATTTCCACAACAAAGGCTGAGCGCTTAACCACATTTTGATACAGAGGCCCAGGGGAACTCGGAAATGGCCTATTTGGAAGGAGAATTTCGTAGTCCTTCAAAAGTCGCTTACCGCTTTTCCCCCCACACTGACTTTACTGGCAACTTTGTCAGAAGGGACTGACTGGTACCTGGCTGCTAAAAAGGGTGTGGTCAGGAGAGAGGGGATAAAAAGAACTTTGCCATCCTGAGAAAGGGTGGGGAGAGAGAGTTTTTTTTCCTGGAATATCCTATTGCCACAATGCAGGATATATATCCTAATATTAATATAAAAAAATAGCAATACCTGCATGAAAACAAGGTGACATATTGGGTAAACCTTTTTTTGTTGGATTCTTGCCATCCTGGGGTAGCAGGGGGGATTTTAACTGGATTTACAGGATAAATCCTTTAATACTACTATGAAACAGCAGCAATACCTGCATGAAACCAAGGTGATAAGTCGCTCAAAGCTTTCTTTGTTGGATTGTTTCTGTCATCAGCAAAATACTTGAGTCTCTCATTGCAGAATGATTCCAACATTTCCAGCCCTGCCTTGGTGCCAGGTTGAGCCCAGTCCACTTCCTTAACATCACGATCAACTTCAATGAATTTATCAACTGCTTTCCAGTCGGTCTGGTTTATTAAACAATAAATATTAAAAATAGTGTCATAAAATGAACATCATCACAGTTTGCTTTACACCATATTTTACAAGGAGAGGTACAAATAAATGAGAACGAGTTAAGTGTTAAAAATTTAATACGCAATTTCTAGAGTTAACTAGAAAGTTCTTTCTAATGCAAGCTAGGGCACAAGCAAAAGCGCCACGCAATTTTGTTATTAACAGGTTAAGTTTTTTGTGTTTGCGGTCAGTTAATGCAAGTTCTTTGTCAATCGATTTCAAGAAGCCAATAAGTTTTCTTTGTTCTAGTGATTTTAAGGACATCAACAAAGTAAATATTTACACTAGATTTCCTTATTTAAGTAAGCACTTTGTTAATTTTATCCTTTAAATCGAGTTTATTGCTGATTGCATTGTAAAATCAAGATTTAGATTTTAGACAAAGTTAAGTTTACACACGACATCATTTACTGTTATTTGTCAATTTTAAGTTTTTACCTTTATGTCTTGTTACTTTCAACAAATGAAATGTGTGTATTTCTGTAATTTCACAACATTGCCTCTGTTTTAGTTCTCACAGTGTTTATGGAACTAAGGTTAAGAAAAGAAATAAACATCAGTACGTGAACTCGTTTCATCTCACATCTCATCACCGGAGCAATAGAGGAGCGCCTCTCTCCTTGTCCCCTAACCCTAAGATTCAAGTGCTTTCCTGTACCAAAATTTTCCCCATTACTTTCCTATGGTGTTTTCTGTTTGGTATAAGTGCCTAGAACTGGAATGCAAACCATTCACCAGTCAAAAGAGTTACAAAGTTATTAAGCTTTTAATGACATTACTAAGTCCTTGATACAAGCTGCAATTATGTTACATATAGACTACTGCAACAGTTTATTTTATGGTGCTCGCACAGTCCATCTGTCGAAACTACAGCACTTGCAAAACTCAGCAGCCCGCCTTGTGAGCAATATGCTAAAACATGGCCATATCACTCTGTTACTTTTTTGGCTTCCGATTAAGTTTAGAATTAATTTTAAGATTGAAATGCTTGCTTAATTTATGTATATTGTTTGGCTCCACAATATCTTAGTAGTCTTTTAACAGTAAGAGAGTACTCACATTATAAAATTGGAGACAGACCATTTTCGACCGCTGCACTGAAAGTATGGAACAACCTTCCATTACATATCAGGAATGACTGAAAGAACTTTAATAAATTTAAGAAGTCGCTAAAGAACTATTATTTTAAAATAGCTTATCACTTGGTTACCTGAACATACTTTTTCCTTTTTGACCTCTAGTCTTAGAGCATTTATCTTATATTTTAAGTTGTTTTGCATTTATATTGTATACCTATCAGAAACAAACAGAGCCTTGCATCTTTTAAGCAAGCTCTCAAAACATACTTTTTAAAGATAGCTTTTAATCGACTTATTCATTTATTGTTTTTAGTTTTTATCTGTTTTTTATTTTATTTTATTACTTTATTTTTATTATTTAATAATAATAGAATTTAATCAACTTACATTTTTATGATAGCTTTTAACTTGACTTATGTTTATCTTATCATCTGTTACGCACATATGAAACTATTTTTTGGAATATGTGCAATATAAGTTTTATATCTATTATTATTATTGGATATTTTATTAATTTTAATTCTTCTTTTGTGTAATGTGCATTTGATCTTATTTTTATGTTAATTTGCACAATATAAATGATAAATATTATCATTATTAATGGTATTTAATTAAAAGGTTCACCTTTTTAATTTTGTCTGCAGCAGCATGAGGATGCTTGATTACAGGTGGAAATTCTGTAAGAAACCCTTTCAACTGGTTGTGGATTTTAGGTCTAATAGTTCGCGCACCGTACTCTAACTTCGGAGAAGCTTAAATGTTGTGACCATCAACCTACAAAGATGGAATCACAAAATAATAATTTAGTTGGTTACATCTCTTTGACTCATGCCACCGCTTTACATCCTTTAAGTACAGTTGTTTGCAGTGCATCCTGGCAGCAGATACCACACTGAAACCACAAATATATTACCATACATGTACACTGTCATATGTATTAGAAATGCCTGCCACCAAAAGCATGCAATTGTTATTTAAAGGGAGTACTTCAAGCCAAAGTGAAGTCAGTAATAGAGATGGTCTGTGTCAGGCTAGAAACGTCTCTTGCTTTCCTCCATATTGTTATTCACCACATGTAAATCACAAGAAAATGAATACCAAAAATGAAATCAAGTTGCTGACCTGACAAACAGGGAAATTTTTTGGAAGTTTTGCTGTAACATCTTTCAGCCACTTTAACGGTTTTCTCAGGGGTGTAAAATCAGTTATTAATCCACCAAGATTATGTGACTTCACAAACTCAGGAAGCACTTTGTCTGGTTCACCAAGAAGCAAATGGAAATTAATGCTCAGTGTAGACAGTTCCTGAAATAAATAACCACAGTAGGGTTAGTTCTATAGAGCACTGGTCAGCAGAGCAGGAGATCATGCATGTGATTCTGTAACTCAAGGAAAAACTTAAATCAAACTGCAGAGCACGAAAAAATTATCATCCTGTAGTCTGGGAGGAGTAGATTTTCTTGCTGGGCAAGTAACTTTTGAAGCTTACCCTTTAAAACCTAAGATCAAAATTTGAATTCTTGTTAGGTGTCCCTATTCATTTCCTACAGAAGTAGTGGAGAGAAGTTGATAAAATATCAAGCAAATTCAACTTGTACGATCACGTCCATAATTCTCATGACCACTCAGTTTTACAAAACACTGATATTACAATGAGAAATTTGATGCTGATCACTCTTAGGGCTTAAACAGTTAAGGGGCCAGGCAAGTTTTACTCCAATAAAATCGTTAACTAAGATGAGCAAGGAGTGGCCCAGGACAAGCAGAATGGGAGAGCTGCTTCCCCAAAGGACATGATGGAATTAAAGTTTTCCTTGAGCCATGAAACTGGTTTCAAAATTTTCAAATCAAAAAAATTTAAACCACACAACACATAACAATTTTATAATAATTATAAAGTTGGTATGTGTTGTGCGGTTTAATTTTGTGTTTTGTTGTACCTTTTCGACTTCTTGAAGACCTTTGATCATAAAACTGTACTGTCTGTAAGTGGTATTGAGGAATTTGCTTGGTAAACAGAAACATACAAAGAGAGGAACTTCTTGTTTAAGGGCCATTCGCTGGGCATATAACAGTGCCCAGTTATCTAAACCAAAAAAAATGTAAATAATAATGAGTGTTGTTGACAGCTTACATGGTAGGGGAATAGGTAAATCTTTACTAATGTCACTTTGCTGTAACGACAAATTTAGTTCAAGAGTTGGAAGGGCTAGTTAATATGCATGCTGGGTCAAATTTTCCTTGGTATGTGCTGCTGGTCTCTAAGAACCCCTACCCCATTATAGTCCATTCTGTGGCCGATTATATACCCCATCTTAGTCATTTTTCAGCAAATGTAATAATTTTTGAAATCCCAGCTTAGTCACTTTCTGTAAATTATACACCTACCTTAAAAAGCCAACCTTTTTATTGCAAATTTACCCATTTTTAAATCCCCACTTATCAGATTTTTTTATCCCATAATCCCAAAAATGTGCGAACCAATTCTAATAACTGTATTAAAATCACTAAAGTCAATTTCATAGTCAATCCCATTACAGCCAACGCCATTATAGTCAATCCCATTAAAGTCAATCCCATTAGAGTCAGTCAAGTCATGAAAATGTGACCCCATCCCCATTAGCCTATTCCAGGTTACAACATGTATGAAGTAACAACCCCCCCTCCCCCGCTACTGGGCTTGGGTGCAATTTCATGCCGAAGTCCAACGGTAGGTTTTGTGCAACTGGTCACAGTTTTTAAGTCTTACAATCTTGCACTTTTATTCCAATTTTAGGTATTCATGTTTAAATTTTGCCAATTTAGGTTGTACAAAAAAATCCAAAGAAAATCCAAGGATCAAACCTCATGGTGTGACCATTCATGATCAGATAAAACCTCTTCAGCAATACTCTTACATGATAGCATCTATTTCGGGTCTTTAACAAAATTATTTATTTTTGACGTGAGGGCAAAACGTCTGTAGTAAGCGTTAATAAACGAGATATAAGCTTAAATTACAACATGCATGTAAGCTTAAACCAACCTTGAACACGCTGTTCCCTCCACATCCAGTAAGCGATTCCCTTGCAATTCTCTGGGATATCAGCATCAGAGGAAATAAGACGGACTCTTTTCTTATTGAACTTAAAATCGGTCACAGATTTGCAAACTTCTTTACGTTTCGCCATGTACGATTCCAATATGTCGTCGCCATGTTCAGTGACCTCTTTCTTCGATCGTTTTGGGGGAGGTTCGCACGCCATGAAGACAAATCTCAGGTTATTAAAATGTAAAAGCTGCTGCGAAATACGACGAGGAATCAAACAGAACGATCGAAGGGAGGAAAAAATGTTGAAAAATTTGCTTTGATCAAATCACATGTAAACAAGAGTTAGTAGGAGTCAAGTACCATTACATAACTGTTTCAATTCCCGCGCTTTCGGCCATGATGCACCACGTGAACGCCCCACGTGAACTCTGCAGCAATGGGCAGAGAGACACTGAAAACGAGATATCCAATACCCGAAACCCTCGGGATCTATCAGAACCGACCGAATTTAGAGATCAGTTTTGGGTCTAGTCAGGAGCCGATTACTGTTGAGTTTATAGCACGCGATTCGAGTTACCGAGGGTTCGACTCACCGTTCCACTCTATGTTATATTTCACAGAATTGTCGCAATTTTAAAAGTAAATTCCTCATCTCTGTCAAAAACGGACACCTTTTGGGCAGTAAGCGTTACGTTCGTCAAGAGGTCATAAAAGGTGATGAAAATAATTGAAGAAAGGCAGGGACCAACTCTGACGGTAGTTTTAAAAAGTGTTGCCCTTGTAGGGGAGAACACGGACTGAAGTGCAACCTCTTTCCCATGCCCACTGGGCGTTTTCCTTAATCCTTTAAACCCCAAGATCAACATAGAAATTCTCCACACTAGCATCCATAAGTCTGGAGAATTTGTATGTGGATATTGGGCCTTTAAGATTTCACCGCTTTTAGGGCCTGTTTACATGGAGTTGGGGCACCCCAGGTAGGTGAGGTAACCCGCTTAGGTTTAGCCTGCGTATACGCGTAGCAGGCGTCGAAAGGGGTAGGGGGTAGGAAATAGGGAGGAAGGGAAAAAGGGGAGGGGGATTGGGGAGAGAGGGAGGGGAGGCTCCCTTTCCTTTTCCCTTTCTCCCTCCCCCCTCCCCCTCCCCATTTTGCGCCTGCCACGCAGGCTACTTAGGTTGGGTAACCCGCCTGTTCATATAATCTTTTAATTTGATCACGTTTACATGATAGGTAGGGTGACCCGTCACATGTTACCTCACCTACTTGGGGTCCCCCACCTCCATGTAAACAGGCCCTTAGTTTTTCATTTTTCAATGACTGACTTTTTTTACAAAAGAAAAACAAAAACAATCGCCAGATACAATATCAATGCCAAAATAAAACAAAAATACCGTTAAGTGTACACTTGGATAATCCGAGACAAAAAGAAATTAGTCATTCCGTGTGGCGACTCCCTTAAGCAACAATACTGATGTCGGAAAATTTTCCGGTTCCTATTAATTGCGATTTAATCGCTTTGTTTATTACTTGTTTTGGACACGGTGGAAACAAGATTATAAACGGTTCAATACAGGCTTAAATTAGCCTTGAAACAAATGGCTGGCACTCCAGATTGCAATGGAGCAAAACATGGAGTGGCCCAAACAAATCGCTTTGTGTTGCGCTGGTTTAGTTTGGGCGAGGGGCCGCAAGAAACGAAACTCAAAAGCACAACTGTGGCGGCGCCCGCGAAGCGCTCAAAGATGTTGCGATCACAAAAGAGGGCTTTGAAGACAAAAACAAAACTTCAGGAAAGCAAGGGAAGGGGCGTTAACGACGGATTAAAAGCGGCAGCAGAATCCGAGATGGAACACGCGGCAGTGACCGTGAATTTAATCAGTAAACGTGCAAACAGTGATGAAGAAATGGAGTTAATTGGAGAGGACATCGAGGGCGAGGAGAGAGAAGCAGCAGGAGGCGAGGGAGACGAAAATGGTGATCACGAAAATAGCGATGTTGAAACGCTGGATTTCTTGACAGAATTGTCCAGTGAAATGTCTGAAGAACCAATTTTGTTGCCCAATATTTTAATCCCCTGTACAAAGTGCGGTGACGTGATAAACATCTGTCGACTGCCAAGGCATAGGAATGTACACACCGCGTTACAAACTCTCAAGTACTCACAGAATCAGAGGCCGAAGAACCTGAACGCGTTAGTCAGAAGGAGAAAACTTCTGATAAAACAGCAACAAGATGCAAGTTCGCGAAACGTGCGGGATCCATTTGGAGACAAGCATTTGCATAAATTAAACACGGCCTTTGAGATTTTGAAGCTAGAGCTTGAAGGCAACGTGGATGCGAGATGTCTGGGTGATCAAAATATTGCAGGTTTGCCTCTTGTGTTTACTAATAATATATTTTTAACCTTAAATGGATCTTTGGAGACCAAGTGGGATGATCTAAGACAGGTTTTTAAATGCTTAGCTTGAAAGCTTAACTCGTTGATCCAGAAAAACACTTAACGCTGTAGGCTGTAAGAAGATTCTCGCTGGAGTCAATTTCACACCGACAAAGGAAGAACACAAAGAAAAAGAATTAATTAACTTAATATCCTGGGACAACCATTTAAAGTACTCTGTGTAATTGGTTACTTGGGAGACAGTTTTTAGACTTCAAAGCGCTCGGTTTGCCTTGACGATTTGAGTTATGAAGTTACGTGATGCATAATGGTCGTAATGGTATTTGCGTAACCCTTATTTTAAAAACAAAACATCTTCTATGTGCCCTTTACACCCCAAGAGGTGTTAACTCGGATTAAAACGCATGTACAACGCAAAGTCAAGTTTAGTACAACATTTAAATGTCATTTGCGAAGTCAGTCAAGCGAACCGTCCGCACAGGCTCTCAGAGGCAACCTCGTTCTTCAGAGGCTCAGCTCTTTACTCGACTCGATCTTACTCCAGCGGCGAAAACTGTTTTTTTTTTGGCCTTTATTTGCCTGCTCCCCGAAATTCGGTTCAACAACAATTGCTTCACACAATTTCAGGTTCAGTTGGGTGCCTTATTGATGTGTACTTAATTTCGCTCCTGATTTCGCTGGTCTTTAATTTCGCGTTTATCGGGATTTGAAAAAAATTGCAAAATAACCCGCGAAAAAAATTCCTCGCGAAATTTAATGCCCCCTTTTTCATATTTTCCTATTTAAATCGAGAAAGTAAAATCCCGCGAAATACTAGCTGTCTCGCCAAAACGCGAAATTAAGTTCTCGCGAAATAAAGTACCAGCCCCCGAAATGATCCCCAATAAGGCAATACCCTCTTTTTTGTTAGAACGTCTAATTTACGGACAGAAGTTGATCGTTCTTAGTTGTGTTTATAGACTAAAAGCGATTCTTTCAAAGAGAAAAAAGCATGATCAGTATTTAATAATACAATAACAACAGCAGAAATTTGTTGAACTTTAAATTGTCGGCCCTTTTTTTTCAAGTCGCAATCCATCTATATCCTCTTTGAAAGCCAAAGAAACGCACCTTTAGTTTTGTAGACTTGCCACAAGTCGTCCTCACGAGTTCATTGCAGAAAAACGTAAACCGAGTGGAGTGAACATTTTAGGCCTCCAAGCAGTCGGACGAGCGACAAAGGCCTTTTTTCAAAAGTCAAATAGTTTTGGTAAGGAGTATATAGTAACATCGTTATCTTTTGATAGTAATTTATAACAAGACTGATTTTTTTTTTGGCTTTTCTTTGATTCCAGAGATAAAAGTTTCAGGTGAAGGTTTTGATCTCTCTTGCACAACAGCAGCTGGGGTTTGCGAAGAAGCAAACAAGAGGTGGAAAAACATGGAGGATGTGCACATCTATAAGGACAACTTCCTCGACCACATAGACAGCGCATTTTTCGCGGTTTACGATGGTTACAGCGGAAAACACACGGCGGAAAAGTGTAGCCAACATCTTCATGTTTATTTAAAAGACGAGCTTGACTCTGTTATAACTCATGAACAAGCTACGCCAACGCGAAAACAAGTTGCTGCGGCCTTCAAAAGTTCCTTTTCGAACACTGAAAGACTTCTGGTACTGTCCGAGGAGGAGCGGTCACAAAGCAGATGGAGTGGTTGCTCAGCAGTAACGTGCGTTTTGACTCGTGATATGTGCTTTATAGCGAACGCGGGAAATGTGGGTGCCATTTTGTTACGGGATGGTGACATTGTTAAAGTTCTCACACACAAGCATGACTTGTATAATAAGAAAGAACGCGATCGAGTGAAGAAGTCAAGCGGGGTCATCGTTAAGACCGAAAAGTGCGCCCTTATAAATGGTGCGTTAGGTGTGACAAGGGGCATCGGGAGCATTGGAGATACGGACTTAAAGAGATGTGTTATTAATGAGCCTGGCGTAAAAAGCGTTCCTTTGGACCCCACTGATCAACTGCTCGTCATGGCTTCGGGGGGATTTTGGAAGTTGTTCTCGTACGAAGAAACCGTTCATTTGGTCAATGGATTTTTCGGACAGATGAAAAAGGAAGCTAAGAACGAGATCATTGGAGGCAGACAAGGAAAACAAAGGACACCCAAAACTGGCTCTGGAGACCAAATGAAGGATGCAAAGAGCCCTCAGATATTTTTAAAGGTTGTGAATCCTGACAACAATTCAGACAATAATGCGTTTTTCGATCACGGTGTAAAGACAGGATATTTCACGACAAGCGAAAGACAAATAAGTCGAAGCAGAAGTGAAGTGAATTTGGGGAAGCTACAAATGCCCCACCAAGAAATAAATTTTGCTGAAGAACACCACCTTTCAGCTAAAACACAAGAAACAAGCGACACTATTGAAACGAAAGAAATCAGCGACAAAAACACAGATATGAACGATGATATTTCTTCGAACGACGTCACACTAGATGACATCACACTGAAATATCTACGTCATCACCGGTTTTCTCTCCCTGATAATAAAACGTTTCAAGTGCTGAAAGATTTTGGAGGAAAAGAGCTAACTAAGGAAGAAAAAGCGCGATTGCTGGCTAAATGCCTGGCGGAGAGGCTTGTTAAATGCGCGCTATATGCAGCGTCTATGGACAACGTGACTGTGTTTGTTGTTTTATTGCCCGGATTCTCTATGGTTAACTGGCCGATGGTTACACCGGAGGTTCTAGAGGCTTTAGATGTGTTTGTAAACGAGGATGATCTGTACTAGCAAGGCTGTGAAACGGGTATCCTGTTCAAGGCGTTTCATATAGTGGCGCGCGGGCGAAAATTAGACCGAGGGAAAAACGAGGGAAGACTGGGGCGAGGGCCCTCTTCCTCTTTTCCCCTCCGCTTTTTGCGCCAATCTCCACTGAATGCCTGGAACAGGTTATGAAACAAAGAAGCTTATCTAACTGATTAGAAGAGAGATTTTTTTACCGAAAGAAGAGTTTCGTGCAGTGCCTGGGTATAAAGTTCAGCTGCGCGCGATTAGCCTTGAACAATCGCACAATTATTGTTCAAAACTAGTTATTTATTGCTTTACACTCGATATCAACAAGATAAAATGTTGTTTCAAACAAGTTTGATATGAATTAAAACTGTGAAAAAATTAAAACACATTATAAAGATTAATCCTGGTTTGCTCTGTTTTTTTCCGGTCGAACACCACAAATTACAGGTGGATTCTACAGAGCACGACTGATTTAAACCGGCTCCATAATTACGGCTTAAGAGAGGAATTGCAAACACTCAGTGACATAGACTGAAACCAAGTTTTTGAATCCACGAGATAAGCAACCCCACCAAACCCATTCTTTCACTGAAACCGCAACGGTGCAATCCTGTATTCAGCTACATATGTCTCGATCGTTAACGTGGAAGGGGGAAGTTTGACAATAGGGCGTAGTCCCCTGTTACATACCTACGGAGGGTGACCGGTCGTTTCGCCAACGTCCCATTCGCCAACGTCTTAAGCCGTTTCGCCAAGAAGCGAAACGAGCGCTGCGCATGTATATGCTTCGTTCTTTCAGCCATGATACAAAAAGTGCGATACGCATGTGTTTACCTCGTTCCTTAAGCAACTGATCAGGCAAAAGCAGTTGGGGAACTGACCCAATACGTACGTGAAACGACTTCAGAACTTGGCAAACAGGAGATTGGGGAAACGACTGTAAACACTACAGAGCATACAGAAGGGGCCTGTTTATGGTTGACCTCAGCTCTGATTGGTGAGTTGAGCGAGCTGAAGGATAACTCGAACTTAATGTTTGCTATCCAATGTTTTTTTTTCCACGCTTGGTCGACATGTTTTTTACCATCACTTCTCCTCGGTCTCCCATTACTTCATCGTCATCTCACTGCAAGCTTATAATCGTCCACAACAGACTCCAGCGTGTCAAACGCATCTATGAAATCACTCTACAATTATTGAAAAAAGAAACACACCTTTTTACAAATATCGTGGTTACACTTTTTAAAGAAGGGTAGATAAATAAACCAAGATCTAACAAGCACGTGCAATGGCAAAGATTTGTTTATCCACCTAAATGGTTTTGTGTTGCGGCCGTCGTGCTTGCTAACTCACGAACTGCGTTAAACGAAGGAGAACGCATCCTAATTTTTTCTCCCCTTTCTTCGCGCTTTTACAGGAAGAAGAAATTGAAAATGCCCTTTGTCGTCTTCAGCACTACTTCTCCCTCGTCTTTCTTTTTTCGGGGCATTTACGCCGGTCAGGAAACTGGCATGCAACGGTAAAAAACCGTTTGTCGGCCGACTGTGACAGTTTGTTGCCGTTTGTCGCCCGACTGTTGGTCGACAGTCTACCGACACATCACCGGGGGAGCTCTTTTTCAATATTTCCAGTCAAACTTGTATTAACTACAAATAACCACCTAAAGTAAATGCAATGAGGATCATTGCAGTCGCTGGAAACCACTTTGAAGCAATTTTTACAGCCTTTACCTTGGAACAGCCGTGTTTCCAGAACCAATGTAAATAAGCACCTGCGTCATACATTGTTCTTGCCTTGGACATGAGATCCTCTAGTGTCTCAACTATTTTTGTGGAGTTCAAGCACAGTGTGAGAGACTGCGAATCTTTAGGACCCACTGGATTATACTGACCTATAAAAAAAATGGTGAATCACACTTTAAGAACGAAACATGACAAATAACATATATAAGACGATGGCGAAACGACCTAATACGTTCAGAAATGAATTAACTTCTTAGCCTGCTTGACAGGGGTTTCGAAATGGAAAGGGCGGTATTTCCGGCGTTTGAAGTAGCCTGCAAACAGGCTCACCTGTGCAAGGTCGTGGAAAAATTCCTCGCGCGCCGCCTCCAAAATTTTCCCCGAACTCCTACAANAACCAATGTAAATAAGCACCTGCGTCATACATTGTTCTTGCCTTGGACATGAGATCCTCTAGTGTCTCAACTATTTTTGTGGAGTTCAAGCACAGTGTGAGAGACTGCGAATCTTTAGGACCCACTGGATTATACTGACCTATAAAAAAATGGTGAATCACACTTTAAGAAGGAAAAATGACAAATAACATATATAAGACGATGGCGAAACGACCTAATACGTTCAGAAATGAATTAACTTCTTAGCCTGCTTGACAGGGGTTTCGAAATGGAAAGGGCGGTATTTCTGGCGTTTGAAGTAGCCTGCAAACAGGCTCACCTGTGCAAGGTCGTGGAAAAATTCCTCGCGCGCCGCCTCCAAAATTTTCCCCGAACTCCTACAAGTCAGCCTGCTGGCAGGCTACCGTGCAGGCTTTTAGGAAACGTAATTAAGCAAAGACGTTTTTTGAGCGACGAACGTCAACCGGAAGTGAAGCTTTTTTTCTTTCAATATGCCTTGACGCTACTAAATGTATATATCTTCAAGTCTCTTTACTCGCATAGAGACAATTCACCTGAAAATTTGGGCATAACAACTGCACAAGAATGCAAGGAGTCCACTTCCGGTTGACGTGCGTCGCTTAAAAAACGTCTTTGTTTAACGTCTTTGTTTAAGTTCTTGTCTGAGACCCAATTTCAGCGGGATTCGATATAGCCGAGGTAGCAGGCGTTGAAAGAGGTAGGTGCAGACTAGATTCGATGAAGATGACGTTTTAGTGGTTAGCCTGCGAGCAAGCTCTTCAATAGAGACGACAAGTCGTTACATCACGTTCCCTTGGTTACTTTGTTCTCCGGATCTCAACAAACCGTGGTCCTGCAGATATGACAGAAAATAGCAAAAAGGCTGTGCATGATTACACTCAGGAACAAAACGGTAGCCCACAATCTTCTTACATCGTTCAACAATACAAATGGCCGTCTCTGTCAAGAAGATTGTTGTGATCCAGATTTTCCTACCGTGGTAACCTGACGTCACATTTCTCCTCTCTAATGGCGGATATGGTGGAAGTCACACGCAGGTGGCACCCTTGGCTCGCCGCCAGAAATGGAGAGCTTGCTCGCAGGCTATTTAGTGGTTTACAAGAAACTGGTTACACACTTATCCAAAAGTCAACTGGAAAAGGATTCCACTGCACACATCCCAGTGACTGTCGAAATTTATCTTCAATTTTTGTGGAGACCTCTGCAAAGGAACCCTCATAATCTCCACGGGCGATAAGGAGAGAGCACAGGGTGCTAAACTGGCTGCCTTGCCTGTCATATCGACGTATTGAGTGAATAAGCGATTGAGCGAGTGCTTCCCAGGTAACCTTCAACTTCGCAAGGTGATGCACTGTAGCAAATTTTTTGGATGGTTCCGCACAAACAGACCGAAGCATTTCCCATGGTTCATTGCCACTTGAGACTCCAGCTGACAACTGCGATGACAAACAGCTGTCAATCATGTTCGACTTCCTGGTCTTTGAAGATGGCGGGCTTACGATTCCCCGATAGCGAAGCAGCGCTGAAGCAGTCGATCTGGGTTGTCTAGCCATTTCGGCGCTAGAGTCAAAATCAGTTACGAAAGACAGCGTATCTACGGAATAGTCATCAGATAGATATGAAGCAGAGGAGTTTCGCTGAGGAGTAGCAGTCACTGCTGACCAGTTAAAACTGAAATCATCTTTACGCAGAGGGTCATCCATAGAAAACGAAAGCTTTCTAGAAATACTGTCTTGTTTTCTCAGTCGTCCTCCACTATAGCTAAACTTCTCACTTTTTGAATCCTTCATAATGTCTGTCATTACTCGACTTGCCCTTTCCTTGGGTTTTCCCTTTATCCGTTTAGGCTTTTTGCCTAAGGGTTGTAACACTCCAGCAAGGCTCGCTGAAATGTAGCTGTTCATATCTTTGAGTGAGATGGAACCTGATGGCTTATGTCGTGTTACTAGCCCACTGTGTGATGTTATGTGATGAAGAACATCGTCATTGTTGAAAAGTAACACCCCGTCTGCATGTCTGAAAAAAGAAGATCATTTATGGTCATTTATGCATTTTTCATTTAAGGCTTTTCTCCGTAGTAAGTGCCGCCCTGCAAGTTAATATATTACACCCGGTCTGAGGTCGAACTTGCGAGACCACCTTGAGAAGGGAGGGAGGTTGGCGGGGGAGCGGGGGGGGGTGATCTTAAAGGGGCCAAAATCAACAGTTTTTAAGTAAAATAAAAGTCCTTCAGCAGTGCTTTTCTGTGGTAATGTTTCTCGTGCTGTACAAAGTGATTCTAACTTTTGATTCTGTCACAGAAATCTTTTAAGTTTGCCCATTCAAATAAAAGATACTGAGCATTACTTTCCTGTGGTCCTGTTTATTATGCTGTACAAGGTGGTCCTAACTATTGAGTTGATGACTGAAATTCTTATGTTTGACCAGTCAAAGTTCAGCAGATGGCACAAGTCTGATTTCTTGTTGTAAACTTCAACTCACAGTAGTTTTAAAATATTATTGTAGTCAGAAAGTGGCCTTGAGAGTGAAGATAACTGATGATATTGATAACACTTGAGATCAGTCATATTCAGTACAAATAAAATAATGAGTTGTTTAGAGAAAGGCATTAGAATTATCACACTCACCGCTGTAGAGATGCTAAGCTTAGAAGTGAGTTGTAATGTTGCAGTGGACTGTCACCAGATGAGTGAGGTGAAACAGCAACAGACATGACATGAGCCAAAGGGTATGTGTCCCTTATTCTCTCCACAAGATGTGATCCCAGTCCAGAACCAGTACCACCAGTAAGACTATGGACTACAATTGTGCCTTGCAGAGAAAAGCAAGATAAAACGTTTGAGTAAAGTCAATGCAGTTCTCTCTAAGATGACAACTGACCGTACGGGCTCTAAGAATTGATTATTTAAACATCGTCAACTCAGTGTCCAGTTTAGGAAAGTGTCTGTCCTATAGGGGTGTCTGTTGAGAGAGAGTTGACAGATCAGTATAAGAAAAGAAACTTCCAGCTACCCCTCCCCTAAACCATTGTCAGGGCAAAATGTTGGGTTAGGGAGGGGTAGGTCGGTAGCTTCCCAGAATCCCATTCTATTCAAGTTGTCTGAAGGTACAAAATGTGGGGGTAAAGAGCACTGTCAATGACCTACTGAAAACTCAGATGGTTTGGTAATGTTCTATTTAGGAAAAAGGTTATGTTGTGTGCAAACAGCAATATTAAAATGGCAGCTTTCCTTTTTTAGCCAGTGGAGTGGGCAAGATGTGAATACCAGGGCTTCATTTTGTCCTTAGCCAACATACAATTCAAGGCTAGAAAAACGTCTAGTCTGCTTGTCTGGGACCAGTAGATTGTCTTGCTGGGCAGGAAATGTGTTAATCTCACTTGCAGCTCAAAGGTCAAGGGTACAGGCAAATCATGTTTTAATTAAATCATTACCTATGACAAGCAAGCAATGATTCAGGCAAGCAAAATATGGGGGAAGCTAGTCCAAAGGAAAAGCAAGAATTCAAGGTCTTTCTGAGCCCTCCATTGGCTTATTCACTTGCTTGTTCACCTGAATGCAGGGCCATCAACTCTCCCGATAACCCGGGAGACTCCAGATTTTTACTGTATCTCCCAGTACTAGTCTCCAAATTAGAGAATAAAAATCTCCCCGATAAGTGCTGATGTTTGGCATTTCTTCAGTAGACTCGACTTTCTGACAACAAAATTTCACCTACTTTGCGTTCTTTGAGCTATTTTAATGTTAACATCGAACTTTTCCTCATCAACTCTGGCATGCCTTTGCAATATAATAATCTGATTGGTTTTCGTGCATTTTGTGTCATTGCAAATTGGTGACAATCGCAATACTTGGGTGTTATGATTATATCTATCATCCCTATCCTATTGATTCTCAATATTCGAGGACGTTGGTGGTTGACAGCGCTGTGAGTGGCAATCCAGCCACTAAGCAGCCTAACAAAACAATGAAACCCAAGGCTGGGCTCTGTGAAAAATTGAAGGGAGCAAGTGTTTTGAACCTGTAAAATCCAAGGCTCCCAGCATATGATTTTTATGGAAAACCTCAGATATTCTTGTCTGCGAACAAAATTAATGTTAGGTATTAGGAACCACCATCCGCTGATAGAGCACAACCTTGATGAAACCAGACAGTCTCTTACCAGCATAGTTATCACATCTCTCTACTTCCTTTCTCAAAGTTTCCATGGAGCGATTTAATAGTGACACGTCTTCTGTCTCTCCACTCAATCCGTGGTAACCCAGTGCCCAGTTATTTCCTCGTCCTCTTTGGCCGACAATCATGTTGGCTTCTCTGTACAAACTGCTAGATCTTGTATCTTCACGGTAATTATGCCTAATGACCTTAGATTCACTGTCCACACAGACACAGCGTAATTTGCCATCTCTGTGACTTAATGGGTGGGTGTCACTCTTGTCAATCAAACCCATTAGTTCATGTCCAACTTGATTGCCACACTGACCAACCAGAAGAACTATTGAGGACATGATGCAGAAGCTTGTTTTCAAGATTTATACATGCTCTACCCTTTGGCGCGTAAAACAACGAAGTTGAATTGTCACCGAAATGAGATAAACATCCGCCATTTTTATTACGGCGCGAAGTACTGGGTCTAGCAAACTGACCAAATTTGGGCATAGCAGGCGCAAAACCATTTACTTGGACTGCGGTTTTCCAAATGAGACAAAAGAATATTTGTCATCGAAACCAGGAGCGAAACTAAACAAAATCTTTCATTTTTTTTGCTTATAGCTTTTGAAGAGTACTTATTATGGCTGAAGAAAGCCCTCATTTTAATGGTCTCTTAAATCGAGTTCGTGAGAAATTAAGATCGGAGAATGTAAAGCTCTGGCTTGCACCATACACCACATCAAACGATGAACCAGGGAAGTACCCTGAGGTAAGATACTCCATCATATTTTTCCTGAAAACTTGTCAAACGGTAATGTAATATTTACAGGATACAATTTTGGTCATCATTTAACATTATTAATTGCGGGATAAAATGAAATTTAATTTTTGTGAAGACAAATGATCAATCTCGAGGTCAAGATTGCTGGATATTTTGGGAAGTTCGCTTTGGTCAACTTTTTGCTTACAAGGAAAGAATTTGTAAAGTGATGATATGATGGGTAGTACCAAGTGGAACCCGATGATATGGGATCTCAGCTGAATGCTCAGACACCTGAACGATCTCCAGACATTAGCATCTGCTTTACTCATACCTTGTACAGGGCTGTTATTAAGACGCGGGAGACAGGGATTTCCTTCGGCTACGTTCATGGGAAAGAAGAAGAAAAATACAGTCAAACCTCTCCTTACGGACACCTCTATAATACCGATATCTCTCTATTATGGCCCGTTTCATTGGTCCCAGAAATGCCAAAAATCAGACATTCCCTACCTCTAAAATACGGACACCTCTGTAAAGCGGACAATATTGGTTCTGTCCCTTTGGTGTCCGTATTAAAGAGGTTGGACTGTAGAACCGAAACTGAAAAGAAATCCCTAGCTGTTTGATTACCCGCCTACTTGTTGTATTTACCGGGCAACTTGAAATCTTAGTGACAACCCTGCTGGCACATTTATACTTGACAGGAAATGATTAATCGCTACTCAGCAGCTTTAGAAGCTTTACCTGAAGAAATCAAAGATGCATTGGAGGAGCTGAGAGTGCACGCTCTCACAAAATTGCAGACAGGACAAAGATTTGCCAAGTCAGGAATTGCAACTATCAAAGTTCATCTAACTGGCAGAATTCCCCTAGGACTAGATAGCAGGTTACAGATTCAGATTGGTTTACATGTGAGTGGAGCCAATTTCAAGAAAAGGTAACATTCTAATTGATAATAAATTAATATGAGGAAGACAACTTCCTAAGCTGAAATTTAACATTGAATACTATTATAATTATTTAAATTTTACCAGTAACTAATGTTGTTGTTCTGTTCAGGTTAAATGCAGTGTCTGGTTTAGATCCTGATAAAATGAAACTCATTTGCAAAGGACATGTTATTGATGATGGTAAGTGTTGGTTCAGTTTTGTTAAATATGCCACTTCCTTTACCCAGAAGATAACTGTTATTGAGTCATCCACTGCGCCTAGAGCAATAATAATTTTTCTATCTGCAATAACTTTTAATAATTATTATTAAAAGTTATTGCAGATACACAAATTTAGTGCTTACGTTTGAGCCTGCGGATGAAATCCTGGAGCATGACTGCTGGCCACTGCCTGTCAATCATTCATAAAACAGCATAAAAAGTCAACAAGGATACAGAAAATAATGCCTTGCTGACTCTTTTTTCTTATGGACACCCCAATAATATGAACAGAAGCTAACTCCCTGGCAACTGATTTCCAGAGTAAACATATTTTAAGATTTAAATAATGGAACATTTATTTAATTGGGATCTTTGTCATTCAATCACCTTTCTATTATCAGACAAATCCCTGGAGAGCCAAAATGTGAAGAACAATGGGCAGATAATGGTGCTTATACTTTCGCAGTCCATTGCTGAGTCTGAACTTCAACAAAAGAAAGAGGAAGAAACTAAAGCTAGTGTATCACGGACAAGGCAAGCAGCTGAGGCTTTGTCAAGTAGGAAAGACAGTGAGTGGCTTTCATTTGTTGTGTTTATTTACGCTTCGATTAGGCATCGTATTTCATGAAGTGGTTGTGATTTGTGGTTGAATTCTTAAGCTTGTGGAATACTAGCTTTCTAACTGAACCCAGATATATCATGATCTTTCAAAAAGAAGTGGGTCTCACAGAATTCAATAATCAAGCTTCAAATGACTGGCAGAGGACACATATTACTATAACTCATATTTGCATGACTGCAACCAACCCAGCCTGCCTGGGTGGTATTAGGAGAGAAGGGAAGGTGGGGTACGGAAGGAGTGCTAAAAGTATAGAGCTTATTGAAATAAAATTTTTTTTTCTTGCACTTTGATACCTCAAGAATATTGTCTCATTAACACACTTATTTTTTTAACTTACTGTATTTAAATTTATCATTTTTCATAACATCAGACGTTAGAGATGACCGCTTTTTCCTTGAGATAAATGACCAAGAAGGCAAACCAATACAACTTCCAGATCATGAAAGAAAGGTTAGTTGTTGTGGTTTGAATTGTTTAATATAACTACCAAGCTCTCTGCTTGGTGTACTCATGGATAACCTTGAATCTATGAATAGATGAAGTCACAGGACTTTGCAATGTTTGGAAGGAGTGATCAATATCTATTATCATGGGGAGCAAGGGATGGCACAGTGGTGAGAGCGCTTGCCTCCCACCAATGTAGCCCAGTTCAAAACCCGGCATTGACACCATATGTGGGTTGAGTTTGTTGTTGGTTCTCTCCCATACTCCGAGAGGCTTCCCCTCTCCTCAAAAAGCAACATTTTCAAATTCCAATTCGACCAGGAATCAGGTAGACGAAGAGCCACTTTGTGGATGTGCTACCTCCAAATCATTATTTATTTATTTATGTGGTATGGCATGTATAGAATATGATTTGGTGGGAACCAAGAATTCTATTATAAAATTTTGAGTTTTCTGATTTTTGCAGGCTTTAACACTGGCACTTACCTTACATGAAAAAGGACGGAGTGAACTCAAGAAAAGAAATTACGCTGAAGCTCTTTTATTGCTTCTGGAGGCAGAGAAAGAATTCAGGTACAGTCAAACTTTCCTTGCGACCACTCTTGTGAGCAAAACACCTTTGTGAAATCCTGTTTAAACTGTGACTTAAACTTTGTCATGAAAAGCTCTCATAAGCGATTGCTCCCCTAAGCAACTGCGACCACTTTTGGGATTACCCAACTGGACTTTTCCTTTGTTTTTAAGCTCTCGTAAGCCACCACTAAGAGTATTTTTCTTAGAAATCAACACTTTAATGAAACTCCACACTGTGCGAATTATGGGCTAAAAAACTGGATGTAAAGTTTAGCCATGTCTATATAAGACATAAAGACACCCATTCATTAAACATTAATTTATTGCTTTTGTTTTTCTTTATGAATTGTTAATGCATTTCTGAAGCTCTTGTAAGTGAACACCCTCTGTTGTTTCATCAGCTCTGGTAATGACCATTTTTTTGAATTTCCAAGGTTGTCGCTTATGAGAACTTTAACTGTATTTAAGGTCAAGGGTCAAGGGAAAAGGGTTCGAATCCCGTACATGTCTGAATTTTTTTCAGGCTTTTTCGTAACTGCAAAAGTTGCATATATAACTGCAATGATCATCCTTCATTTAATGATATTGTATTTAAGTGTTGTACTATATTTCAAGTGATACACTGCAGAGCTACGTTATAGGAGCGGAAAGTCTCAAAGGCTTATACACGGCGTGCCTGGGAAATTGGTGGGAACTACTGTACATGTAGCAAAAAAATAATGCCTGTTATTTATTTATTTATTTACTTGCTTTCTTCTTCACAGTCATTGCAAAGCTCAGATTCTTGCTGCTGTGGATAATTATGGAATTCTGTGCTTAGACATTGTTTGGTGTTACTTCTGGCTGAAAAGCATTGTAGATTTGCCCAATGCAGGTTTGTTTTCTTGGCTTTGCTATTCAGTAATAATATTATACAGATAGTTATTCTAGGCTCATACCCGACTGTTTTATTTTAACTTTATAGTACCTGACAGTTTCTTTAAAGGTTTTTATTGGCTATCTTTCCTTTATTTTTTTAAGTCTATGGGATTTCTTTAATCATTTTCCCCTTCTCTTACAGAGGAAAAATTACAAAAGTGCAAAGAGTGTTTTCAAAGAAGCTATGGACAAAATCTTGAAAGGTTGACCTTTGTAAGGGTATGTAAGATGCAATCATTTGTCAGTACAGTTCTGTAGCAGGTGGCCTCCATAATGAAGCATTAGTAAGTCCCATTTTCACAAATTTTCGTTGATACAAAACTGTATTGAGTAATGTCCACCGCTTGATACAAGTTTTACTGGTCTCCCCATGTGATCTCTGTGTAACTGGTACAATTGTAGGGCATGCTCCTGCATTCATTATAAAGTATAGTTACATTGACAGTAAACGGCTTGACAAGCCTTTGATATCGCAAGATTTTGACCACTGATAATGAATTTTGCTTCGTCAGCTTAAAAATCCCTCGATATGGTTATTTGCTTAAAAATGTTATGATTTCTCTCAGGGCGGTAGAGGTGGAGAGCTGGCCCTATTTGTACGGCTGCATATCCTTGAGGCCGTATGCGCATATCACAAGGGAGATATCACCACTGCTGTGACATGCCTAGATAAGGTACAATAAAATTCTTGATAGGAAGGGGAAGGTTTGGGATCGATCTATGTACTCACTTTAAACTTGAGCTGTGATCTGACCTTATTTTTCTGTTATTTTGCTGTTGTCTTTTTATGCCAACTGGGAAGTCCCGCTTCTTGATCTGGTCTGCGTCGACTGTAAACGTCAATTACAAAATGAATTCGCGTTCTTCCAAACTTCTTGGCAATTATTCCAACTCGCTCAGTATGTAGGTGAATTTGCCCCTCATTCTCTTGTGTTCTAACTAAATGATAACGTTATATACGTTTGAAATCCATCGTAGGCTGAACGTATGCAAGGAAAACTGCATATTGACAAACATCAACTGACGCAGTGTAAGTTTTGTAACATGTTTATTAATGCTACATAATCAACAGTTAAGGCTACGGTATATTCGCACTATACCAGAATGATCTCGCGCGGACTCGAAGACCATAGCGGATATAGCTTCTGTTCTCATGTAAGAAAGTTGATTTCGACGCAATTTCTATAACAGAGTGAAGATGGTCTGCGCCGATCTTAAAAGTGGATCGCCACATACCGGATAGTTTTCTACCACCATTCGTCCAAATGTGAGCAGGCATTCGCAGCGTAGCGGAAGTAAATGAGGAAGCCCGCTGAATTGTCAACATGTCGTTCTCTCCCTCAGAATCACTTTTAGACTCGACCCAACTCTCTGCCAGTTTCAACGTCCAAGATAGCGGGAGAGCATTAGAAGAAAAGTATCATCGCTCGCGCTGCAATTCTATATTACTCACATCTTTTTGTCTTTGTAGTGATGTTGATGGGATTCACAGAGACAGAAGCTAGGCTTGCATTAAGAGCATGTCACGGGGATTCCACCTTAGCAGTTGATTACATTACACAACGAAGACAGGTAAAGAATGCTTTTCTTTTGGCTCGCCACGCAATCCTACCCTACGAGAAGGAACGCGTGTTGAAAGCCTAAGAATGTTCCGTGGGAGACTATTAGACAGCGTGCAGACGTCGTCTTTTCTTGCACGCGGAAATAGCAGACATCTTCACGCAGGATGGGGTTTATGCGTTGAGTTGCCGCAAACTTTGTCTGAGATCTTTGATTTTGATGCAACATACAGTACTTGACTTGTCCGAGCCTTGTCTTCAGAGTTGTCTTCCATGCATGGTCGGGAATAGGGAGCTTAAGCAACGACGACGGCGACGTCATTGAGAACGTCAAAGAAGCAATAGGTTTAGATTGGCGAAACAACAACTCCGCACGTGCATCACGCTTTTTATACATTTTTTTGCCGTCACTGCACGACTACGACGTGAAAATACTTTTAAAATTTCACGTTTTGTGGAGGACGTGAACCCAAGACGACGACTTTTCGTTTCCTGAACTTCGTTACAGTCTCTAAGAATTCAACTCCACAAAAATTTGCCAACATTTCACGAATTGAGCGAGATGGAATACGCGCGATAAAGTTGAAGCAGCTTCATTTTTAAGTGACGTTTTCGTAGCGTCGCCGTGGGCTTCTTTCTGGTCCGTTTGACTGCGTACTCGTTTTTATGGGCACGTAAATAATTTGACAAGTTAAATAAGTCAGCTAAAACGTAAGCTTAATGTATACTTACACAAGCAGTTGTACGCACCTGTCACTTGAGATGACTGGAAAGTGCCTTTTCATGGCAAATGAGAAAAAGTTTCTTTTCTTCAATGCTTAACGAAGTATTACTTTTTCCTCATGTTGGCGTGGCCATTAGAAAAAGGCAGAACACCAAATAAAAGAGCGTAGAGAAACACACACACAATGGGAAGAAACCAAAAAAAGTTGTCTGAAACAGCCAGGAAAAGTAGCTGACCGCCCGAAAATTTTCCCGCCAAAAACTACACAGGTCAATCATCAATTGTAGGCAATGGGGCTGCAACAAGCTGCAACGGGTTGACACTCGGTTGACACGGGTTTCTTATTTTAAAAATTACGCATGCGTAATATGGGTTCATATTAAGACGGGGCCATAAGACGGAAAAATGACGCAAGAGGCGCAAGGTTCTTCCAACATCACTCCCAGGGTTCTCTCTTTTCCTCTTATTCGTCTTTTACAAAGGTCTGACGTAACAGGGTTCTCTGCGAGGTTTCACTGATATCTTATTCACAACAGGAGAAAAAAGAAAGAGAAGATAAGGAGAAGAAAGACAGAAAGCGAAAAAAACTTGAAAGAGAATTAGGAAAAACAGCAACAGGAGATTGGTGAGAATTACATATTGATCCTGAATGCATAAGATAACATATTAACACATGTGAGGAGTTTTAAATCCTCGCTGTGATCGCATCAACTTATGCGGTAGTTGAATAGAAATCCTGAATAAATCAGGCTTTGAAGGGATCCATCCGTGACAGATGTGAAGTAGGCTAAAAAATATTGCGAGATGTACATGTATGTGTCTGGTGGATACTGAACTTGTTTAGATTTATCATCATCATCATCATCATCATCATCATCATCATTATCATAATCATCATCGTCTTTTATTTGCACCTTATTGTAGGGCTGAGATGAGATCAATAACTGCTCGTGTTTTCCAGTGCCTTAATTATGTCCTTGACTACTTGTACTAATATTTTTTATTATTAAAAACTGAATCATTGGATAATGCAATTTTATAGCTCTGATTGGCTTAGCCATCATGGTATACGCGGCTACGCGACTCGTTGGCTATCTATCATCTCATATCCAACGCACACTCGTGGAATAATTGTTAATAATAACATAGATTCTCACTGACACAGACTCGCAGCTTTCTTTACAGAAGACCCCTGCTTGGTTTGATTTAATTTTTTTGTTTGTTAAAATCAAGGGTAAACGTGGATACGTACAAAGCTCTTGTAGAGATGGGTTTCTCCGAAGTAAGGGCTTCTTCAGCCTTGCGACAGGCAAATAATGATGTTAATAACGCACTACAGGTAAGAAAATACGTTAGATCCTTGACTCAGCTCTGATCTTAAATTCATCTTGGCCTTATCACCTCCATTTTCTCTTATCAAGTTAAACTGAACGTAAATGAAACCATAGGTTTGTCTGAAAAGAGCAGGGGACGTAGACCTCGGTGGCGTGGTCTATCTTTCCTCTGAAGAGCGGACGGCTACTTGATCGCAGTAATTGATGTAAGGTGTTTTCGCCATGTGTCTTGCAGCCAATAAAACCAAATCATTTTTACAAGACTGCTGAAAGTCCTCAGTCACAAAATGCTTTCCTCATTTTTCTCCCTTAGTTTCATCTTTGAAACTCAAAGGGCGAAATGAAACGGCTGGTGAACAGATCAATTGTAGGAGCGGGTAGAGGGAAGCAACTGATGTACTCGTTTTAAGACGTAATATGCCGTTTGGTTACGTATAATTACGTCATAAGTCGAAATATTGGCAATTAATATCAAACCTTTATCGACAGGTTCTTCAGGATCATCCAGAAATGCTAGATATTCAAGACAACAACAGGTAGGAAAATTGTCATATTCAGAGCAACTATCATGGTCGCCAATCTTGGACGCATCACGTCGCACTACAGCCTGGTAGCACATACGTGACACTTTCCTGGGCCTTTACACACAATCTGCATTTCTCAGTCCTTGTATTATTATTATTATTATTATTATTATTATTATTATTATTATTATTTTCGATATCATTATCATTTTCGTATTCGTTATCACCGTTATCATATTTTTCGCTGTCATTATCGTCATAATTATTATCATCACCGTTGTAATTATCAAATATCTTTGTTATCATTGTCATTATCATTCTACAGGCTATAGTCACGTAACGTAACGTGTCTTCTTCTTTTAAGGCTGGCCGCATCATCTTTCGACGATGTGCAGTTTCCAGACGAACATGTTGCTCAAGTAAGTCATACTTTAAAAAGAGCTCGTAATTTTAAACAGCCGTACCTTTTTCGAGGTTTAGGACAACCACCTCTCTCTAGTAAATACTTGACTGGGACATGTCCAGTCTGGCAAGCTGCGATGATCGAAATTTGATCGAGTTTATCTTGTTTTCGTAGGCTGTGTCCATGGGGTTTGAAGTGGATTCTGTTAAGGAAGCCCTGAGGCGTTGCCAAGGTGATATTTCCAAGGCTATTAATATGCTGGCGTCAAACTGTGGAAAGCTTCCTCCGATATCCCATTCTAGAAAAGGTAAGAGAAAGATAATTATAGTATAAGCCAGTTAATTAGAGTGTCCAGGTACTTACATTTTTCAAGTTCTCGACTGTCATGGAGAAAAATTGCCGTCATTAAGGTAACAGTTTTTTCTTGAAAAGTATCAAATGTTTCTAGTCTTCTATCCTTCTTTTTGTTTCTTTTCCAAGAAATTCTCCTTTCATAAAATTTTCGCCCGCGGACGGGCTGTCTTGCGATCTAGAGACAGAAAGGGCGAACACTTAACGCAAAAGCGAAGTACAGCATAATTAACAGTACCACAGGAAAGTACTGCGCACTAGCTTTCATTTCAATAGTCATACTATATGGTTTCATACGCAGCCTCAAAAGTCAGAACCACCTTGTACAGCATAACTGTGAACAGTACCACAGGAAAGCAATAGCTTTCATTTGAATGGGCAAACCATCTGATTTCATCTCCATATGATTTGATTTTGTTTGAAAAGTTAGAATTACAGTCCATTATGAACAGTTGTGGCTACATCTACATTTTTTTTCTTGTTTTAGATGAATCACCCAAAAGCGGCAGTGAAGAAGACGAAGAAGACCCGGATATAACAGAAGCCGTGAATGAACTCGTGCCAGATCTCGCAACAGAGGATGAAGAAGCTTATTTGAATTTATCTCTAGAAGAGGAAACCTCTATCATCTCCGAATACAGAACTCTTCTTTTGTCAGCTGGCCACAATGCTAGCTCTAATGTCGTGACGTCCTAACGTTGTCAAATCTATAGTCAGCGAAAAAATTGAGACAAAGCCTCAAGCCACTTTTGTTTCATAGTAGCCTGCGTATTAGCTGGCGTTAAAAGCCGGGGGAGGGGCAATTCGGGCGCTCGAGGAGGGGAAAATAGTACCCCCTTTCCCCCTGATTTCCCCTCCCCCTTCCCTTTTCAACGCCTGTCACGCGAGTTAGTTTTGTAGTAACAAAAATACATCAGAACGTCTTACCTAGACTACCAGTAGTCCCCCATTTTTCCTCAGGGACAGTAGAGCGAGCGAAACGCGAGCGCGCTGAGGAAAAATGGGGGACTACTCGTAGTCTACTTCTTACCTGTCTCCGTGTTATTTATGGTGTTTTCTTTTTGTCACCCAACAATGTTTCTCACTCGTGAGCTTGGGGTACCTGTAAGATCTAAATGCGAAACTGACTGACAGTTATTTACCCAGCGGGATATTCAGGAGTTAAAGCAGCGATGATTTTGATCGACGCACGTCGACCGGAAGTAAACTTTTTGCCCTCTTGAGACACGATTTTGAACAAATTTTTGGGCAAATCGTCTCTGTAAGAGTAAAGACGCTTAGTAATACAGATTTGGTAGCACCGAGGCATTTAAAAAGAGAAAAAGGTTCACTTCCGGTTGACGTACATCGCTCAAAAAACGGCGCTGTTTAAACTCGCTGATTATTACTTAGCGAAGCGTTTCGCTTTCAATGGAATGTATGAAATTTACGTAAAACTATTTAAAAAAGAACAAGTAAAATACATGAAAACTTAAAGTGTCTTGTAAATAATAATGATAATAATAATAATCTTTAATAGGTACTCCTCAGAAAAGGCTTTTATGTAACTATTTACAGATGGATAAGAAATAATTAGATCTAATAAAAAGAAAACTAATTGCTAAATCTTGTCAAATCAATGAAATTCTATGAATCGATAAATCAAAGACAATAGGTTGTCTTTCATTGCGCTCTTAAAAACAAGAATTGATGGTTGTAATTTAAATGACTCGTCCAATGAAAAGTCCAAGTAAGGTGATAGTTCCTATATCGACCATCGGCTTTAATACGATTGCTATCCTCGCTTCGTCATCGCGCTTATTACATTTTAAGCCTGGAATTGGGATGATCGTGCGTGTTTTTGACTGACACATATGGCCATATTTAAAAAAATTCAGGTCGAATGTTTTAAAATCGAAAAGGGGCTTCACTCAAACCAGAGGCCAACTTCCGTGTACGCGGGGTACCCCTTCAAAACACTTCCCATGATCCTCCTCTATCACCTTTGATCTTTTGATTCACGATTTCCAAGATGGCGCTTTTCGAGTGTTGTTCGAAACAGTTTGTCAAAGATACAGGACGATCAACCCTGCATCCGATCGTGGATTTAAACTCTTCTTCTTGCTGTGATGTCCTTTGCGTCGTGGTAAAAAAGAGGAGCCGATGGTGCTGGAAAAAAACTAAGTACCTGCCCACTCAGTTTAGTTTGAACGAGATCATGACAAAGGTGAGCTGCCATTTCGTGTTCCATGTCATGATCTTTGAATATCAGTAAAAACTGTCGTAAATGAAAATTAATATTGCCGCAAGATGAAAGGCTTCACATGTTTTAGTAATTTATTTGTTTACATTTTAAGATTTTATCCATTGAGCATCAACTGTACTGAACCCGCCTTTTCGGGAAAAAGGCTGCTATTGTCCATGTAGGTCTCTCCGAAGAGGGGTATTACAACTTTTAAAAACCGTTCTAGAATTTTGAATCGCTTTTTCACTCAATCGTTATACAGCACCTTATTTAAGGAAAACCTCTCTGTTTTACTTCCTATTTTTGGGACGATGAAGGTAAAGTCTTTTTTGTATACCCACCCACCCATCAAGCCCATAGTTAATTGAGTGGAATGGTTATGAAACCCGTCAGACTCCTTTGTTATATGTTTTTGTGGACCTGAAAGTGCACAACGTTCAAAAGAATTCCTATCATTTTGATTGTATTGACCAATAAAAACGTTAAGCCCATAGTTAATTGAGTGGAATGGTTATGAAACCCGTCAGACTCCTTTGTTATATGTTTTTGTGGACCTGAAAGTGCACAACGTTCAAAAGAATTCCTATCATTTTGATTGTATTGACCAATAAAAACATTGCATTAATTTATTCCCTAACAATTTGCCAACAGAAAACAAAGGATTGTGCACTTTCAGGGTGCTTCCAACATAAACTGCAGCACTATTGTTTTTATCATTGATGTTTGCCGCTTTTCATAACCAGTCTCCTCTAATAACTATGTCAAGCCCAAAGATTTTATAACATGAGAAGCCATCAATTTTTAGTCAAGATTTTGAGTATTCTGTTGAATTTCCCTTGATTCTCATGAAGATTAAAGGTCATCTGTTTGCAGTGTGTGCATTTGTCAGAATGACTGAAAAAATAGGATGTAATATGTCTCAGCGGGTTTTGCCATAGGCTGTAGCCACGCATGGTCCTTATCTTCTCAAAATTTGTAATTACCATTCAAATTTTGTTGGTTGTTGGTCTTGTAATCACAGTGTTGTCGGAATGAGAAATAATATTGTTTATTCTTTGCCCTGTGTAATGCCTCTTCTATTCAGACCGGGAAGGGGGGGTACTTCCATATATGGGCTAGATAAACACCCCTATTTGAAATTTATGGGAATACCCCCTCCCCCCTATACCCAACCCCCTGTAATTTGCACTCTCGGCCCTTTGACTTTAGTGTCCATAAAAAGGGTTTTGGGGTAACCCAGCTGGATTTCCGTAAGCCCCATATTTTTCTTATTTTCTTTTTTTAGCCAGTTGACATCAGTGGCAATGTTAACAAGTCAGTTTTCATAAAGAAATACAAGAACGAACCAAAATTCCATGTTCATGGCAAACTGGGAGCAAAAATTGCTCAGGAATTTGGAATTGATGTATCAGCAACAGATCAGTTTACAGTTAGTATGGATGTCGGGACTGTCATCAAGAAAGAAGTTGGGTGGGGTGAACTAAGCCAAGCACTTGTAGGGAAAACACTGAATTTGGAACACGACTTTGTGCAAGATATAATTGACAAGTCGAGGCGGAGTCTTTGTGTTGTTTATGAAGCTGTTACAACTGGTAGTGATGCGGATGTTGACTCAGATTCAACTAGAGAAGGTACTAACAGTTTTCTCACTTGAAACAAAATAATAATAATATAAGAACATAGCCATCCAAAGTTGATTTTAAATATTTCTCATACTGCAATAGTTTACAGTTATTGTAAATAATTATTACAGTATTAGAGATACCTGGCCTGCGAGATTGCACAAGTTAACCAGTGCACAGGTTAGAGAGGTAACAAAAATCATTCGATGGGTTATGGAAAGCACAGACAACCCAAGCCCCAACTATTATTCTGTGGATGAAGTACCTAATCATTGGTTAATATTTGGTTAAGTAGGAAAGTATTATCTAACATCCAAAAGAGTTTCTAAGAAAATATAACTATTGATTTAAAAATTTGATTGAAAAAATATCTTGTATAATGACACCAAAAGATGCTCTCCATAACTGCTATTACCTGTGTCATTTCAGGTGATGCAAACATAACTGGAGGCAAACCAACGTTCTCCATTTACCTGGGCGGGGCAGTCCAGGCGACACACCATCGCTCTTATGAATTGCCTAGTAACACCATTCTGGGGTATGCCTGCTATGAAATGACTTATGACTCAGCTATGGGTACATTTGAACTCGTGTTACCTGACGAAAAAGATGCAGGGCAGGTCGAAAGCAATGGAAAGCGTTATCATGTGTTTGATGAACCTGATGGACAGAATGGTAAGTTATCAGTATTTCTGACATTGTGGATACTTTAGAAATACAGTTTAACCTCCTGTAAGCCACCACCCAGTTGCCCTGGATCATTATACGCATCTGCAAACTGCCCACCTACCCCTCCCCTAAGACAACATTAACACTTACTTCTCACTTAGGGCAAAACTTTGGCTTAGGGGAGGGGTAGGTGGACAGTTTCTGAAAAATGTATAATGATCCGTTGTACTGAAGGCTAGGGACTTACAGAAAAGAACAACCAAAAACTTCACAGGGTAAAGTTCCCATGGCAGGCAATTTCGTCATGCTAGCCACGACCTTCCTTACAAGGCTTCCAGGTACTCATCACCTACTGACAGAAAACAAGAAGTTTGTTTGTATTACAGTTGACACAATTACCAATAAGACCATACCAAAGGCTGCAAGACTATGAACAATACCCAATCTTCAACACCAAGAAACATGTAAAAAGGGAGGGAAGTGTTGGGTGGGAAAGATGACCCTCTTACAGACTCAAAGCAGGCTAAATTCAGAGGATGAGTCTTTTTCCAGTTCCCTGTAGAATATTTTTTTCAGGTCATCTTTTTTGTTATTTCAGATAAAGCCCTATCCTCAGTGTTTGATGAACTTTTCAAGTCCCCCCTGTGTACACAGATCATTGGTCTTTACAGGAAGGTACTCGCATACCCAGCCATGGTTGCACCTCTCAGAGACTTGGTCAGTAAATAAACATTGTTAATGTCTTCACTTTTAAATTTCCAAGAGGGTCCAAATTTAACTGAGGTCAAGAAAGAGGTCATTGAATGGTTACAAACTAGATTGAATGGAAATGGAAACTGTACATTACAACACCAACACTAACTTGTGCACTGAAGAGGTCCTGGAAAATAGTAATATTAGTGCTTCAAAGTATATATTGTTAATTAGCCTGGGTTGCAAGCATTTCTGCTCCAGTTTTGCGCCAAAAATGGAGCCAGAGCAAAAACGTTGTTCCAGTGTTCATGCATTGACTTGAGCAGAAACACTTGCCACACAGGCTAGTTGTTAATTTGGAATTTTAGTAGAGCAGAGTTTAATTTCAGATTTCTTTTTTTTCTCTGATTTATGATAAAATATTGAAAAAACAGGAAAGAGAGGAGCAAACTTTACCAGACTTCGATTTTAGATTGCAACAGTATAGGTACCTTACCTTAAGAATCTGTAAAAGTAAATTCATTTTATCTCATAAATGATTATCTTTTTATTAAAATTCAATTAAACAGTTAGAGGAAACACTGTCATCATCTCAGACAAAACATCCCATTGTGCTTAATCTCGCTGATTTTAAGAACAGTGTGGGTGAAGGCTATGAAAGTTGCAAGGATCTTCTGCTTACGATAGGATTCAATCTGGGAGAAACTGCAGATGGCAGAATTACTTTCCCTGTGGAAGGTGCAGTTGGAGTGTTACATTGTTGTACTGCCCTGGCTGAGGCTCTTGTAGGTGAGTCCTGACAAATCTGTATCAGTTCTTCAATGAGTCTGTAGTATTTAATTCTTAGCTGGGAATCATCAAGGCTGTGCTCGAAGAAAAACAGAAGAGAGTCCTTTGCTATGAACCTGTGAAATCCAGGGTGCCCAACATATTGATTTTTATGAAAAAAATAATTAGGTTTGCTAGTTCGCTAAGAGCAAAAGGCAGAATCCAGGGACTGCTAGGCTCTGCTAGAGCAGAGCCCTGTTAAACAAAAATATTATTGCCAAAGGTATTAAGCTCATATTCTTAGAACCCTCAGACTTTCAGAACAGTTGGGTACCGGATTAATTCCCAGCCAGACCAATTCTCAGGGCGTTGAAATAATGGAGAAGGTGATGGCTTTGTTTCACATCTGCAGCGGGGTAACTTTCTTCTTAGATGAGGATGAAAATCTGTAGGCCCTGTCCCTCTGGTTTCACTGATCTGTCTCTTGTGAGATGGAGCCACAAGGGACGTAACATCCTTTAGCAGTGACCACCGAAAGTGTCTTCCTCCAGGTAACACTCATATTGAACCCCAGTTTGGTCAGGAAAAGCATAACAGAACTGGCCTCACTATGCCTCACTATGCCTAAATCCCAGGGGGCGGG